CGTCTTCGTATCCACGAACATAAGCTAGCTGTCAAAAGACATGATATCCACTCCCTCATATCACAACATACAGACAACCACGGGCATCAATTCGACTGGGATAACGTTCAAATATTAGACAGAGGAAACAACAAGAATGCTAGAGAATTTTTAGAAGCTTGGCATTCCAGTGAATCATCAATCAATAGACACATCGAAATAGACAAAATTTATCAACCGATAAGAAAGAATAGTCACACACACAAAGGGTCAAAGTTCAAGTCAAAGAAACAATGACTGACAATACAAGTAACCTAGAAGGTGTGAAAACACACAAAAACAACCAATCACGTCCAAGGTCGCCAGGAGAGATGATTAATAAACTCGTGGAGAAATCTAAAAGCTCACTTTAAATTGAAGTATGCGCTGAAGATGTCACCCAGTAGGGTGATGAAAGCTTCGCAAATTAACTAACAACCACATCAAAAAGATGCTGGTAAGTGTTCGGTGATACGTTTGGATAGCGATCGCTGGGTACGGCCAACATTTCTGGCTCCACCGAGCAGGTGAATTGGTAGATAGACATTGATGAGGCCAGCAGTGGTAGCTTATCCTTCACGTTCACATGAATCATAGGTTTTGTGGAGAAGGTTAGTCTTCGTTCAGCTGCGAAGAAGGTCTTCTTAACTGAGCGCGACAGTCAATTTTTTAGTGTTTCCGTAGATATATCTGAATTGAATTGAAGGTTCATGTAGAGTAGTTTTTTTCAGGACGCTAAGCATGAGCGGCTTTTGTGGTCTACGATTCATAGATTTTGAAATAAATCGTTCTGGATAACAATTCTCGACGAGGATTCTCTTGAGATTGGTGTCCGGGGTGCAAATTCTGCGAACTCTGTAGGTGAGTGAACGGATCAGGTTTCCTTTGGTGTATAGAGGTACCCAAGTGTGAAAGTTAGTAAGCTGTCCGTTCCACGTCGACTTTCTCTAGACAGATCTTATTCTCATAGATGTGTACTATGCATTCGACACATACAGATGGAAGAGTCTTCAGAAATTACATCTCACGTGGTTGGTGTATTGAATCTAACCTCGGATAACACATTTCTGTGTTTACCTGCATTGAGATATAATAATGCCATCAAAAGGAAACTCTCGTCCAAATTCACTGACCCGCAGGTGCATTTCCATCTCGATCAACGTGCTTCATGACAAAACCTCAGTTATACGGGAGTGTTAAAGAAACACTACACGCCAGTCAGAGGAATCTATCCCAACACATGTAGTTGTGCAACAGCTCACTAAAAGTCCTCATCTTAACTAATCATAACCAGTCACATGAGTCAACGATAGTTGATGCTAACATATTAACTGCAGACTTACTGATGAAAGTAACTTTGGCCGACTTCACAGTCTCAGGGATTGACTAGTTATCACGAAAACAGCTAAGTAACTCACAGTAAGGAAACAATGTAACCATTTCAGATGAAACAAAACATTCCAAATATCCTGTTGACAGGTGAAGACATCATCAATACACTCCAGTTCTTGCCTAAAGCCCGAACAGGTTCTCCAGGGTTTGTTTCTCCCGATCACCGCTCGGTCTACACACTGACAATGTCATCATGATTATTGCCAAAAGGCTTAATGGTAAAAGCACATTTCTCACAACACAACTTATCAATTTGATAAGACAATTTCCATAATGGATAAGATTTTATTTTGATAAATCACACAGTGTAGTACAGTTATATTAACTGATGACGTTTCGAGCACAAACTATTGCTCATAATCATATCAAGTATGATGTGATAACTTGATATGATTATGAGCAATAGTTTGTGCTCGAAACGTCATCAGTTAATATAACTGTACTACACTGTGTGATTTATCAAAATAAAATCTTATCCATTATGGAATTATACTCTACCACAGTGCCCAAGTTTTATACTTATATCAATAAGACAATTTCCATACTGGAGTAACATGACAAAACACACACTCATACACACCACTGTAACTAAATTACTTTACTAGTCAGCGGAAAACAATAATAATAATTTGCTTTATTCCAGAAACAGTACTAGTGGTACAGTGTGGAATTTTTAGCACATATCTACAATATTTGCATCTAATTTTATCCAACGTCTAAAAGGAGTATTTCAAAAAAATAAATATAAAGACAACAACAACAAAAAACACAAAATAATTTTTAAAAAGTGCGAAAAAATACCAAGAAGTAGAAAGGAAAATAAACAGCATAAAATAATATCTCAGTATTGGGTAGTGGAAGCTGTGATATGATTATGCATGGTGACAGTAAAGCTGTTGTCATACAAGAAGTTATGAAATGATATTTAAGAATATTTATCGCCAAGAAGATCAGTTAATTTGGTTGAAACAACACTAAACAATCATAAAATAACATTTCAGGGTTGTTGTTTTGTTTTTTATTATCAGGTCTAATGCAGTGTTTGTAGTGGTAGTGTGAGTAATCCTGCATAATACAAAATTTTCAGATGATGGTAATGGCGTTTACAACCAATGATTGTCAGTTAATATTGCCGAAAAAAAAATAAAAAAGCAACCAAAAAAACTAATAATTACATGATGGTTAGTGACAGGACAATTTGGTAATACTCATAGTACTAATACAGTCGGAACCAGTAGATACACAAAAGAAGGAATACAGTAAAGTACAAAAACGTAAGCCAATGTTAGTAATTTAGGTAGCTAAGTATGTTTAAGAAGGTGTTCACTATAGAATACAAAATAAGAGATAAATAAAAGAGCCTAAAATTATATTATTAACAACAAATCAAGTCATAGGTTTCGCACTTAACTTTGTCTCTGTCACTTAAAACACGGGCCAAGTATGGTATCGTTGAGTTCCTGTACTTGGTTGTATGAGCATAGATTATTTTATACTGATTTCTGGTTCCACTTGATGAGATACAAGGCGAGAGTTGGGGGGGGGGGGGGTCGGAGAGTATGGTCTTAGACCATTTTTCGCATGCATTCAGATGCCTTTCAACTATTGTAGTGACGAGCTGACTGAGTTTTACACCACTAGTCCTACTAACTACCTTCAACATCCTTCTCAGGATGGTATAGTCCTTTTTCAGTAGCCCAGGAAAGACTAACGGGGAGCAGTAAAGTAGAATAGGTAAGATACAAGAGTTGACAAATTGTGAAAGTAGAGGTTGGGTGATTCCAGACTGTCTAAGTTTCTTAATGTAGTAGGTTAGACAGAACACTTTCTTGGAAATCGTTAGGATATGAGATGTCCAAGTAAGGTCGGAAGACAGAACTAGACCGAGGTATTTTGCATTAGACTTAGTTTCAATTTTAGTCCCCTCAATGCAACAAGCTTCGTGAATACTTACTAGTGTTTGTAGATCTCGTTTATGCCTAAGGGAGAAGTCAATAGTCTGGCATTTTGAGGGACCATTTAGTTTAGACCACTCACTGATGTCCGACAGGAAGCTTTTTAATCTGAAACAGTCTGACTGAGACCTAATGGGAAACGATACAGTCAGGTCGTCTGCATATTTGACGAAGTTGATTTCGTCCGAAAGAGGAAAATCATGTAAGAAGAAGAGAAGCGGAGAGAGAACAGCACCCTGAGGAACTCCAGCTTCAGTAAGCAAAGGAGAGGAAGATACACCATTATATACCGTGTACTGCATCCTATTAGAGAAGTAAGAGTGTAGCCAGTTGATAGCCCAGGGCTCAGTTTGTGTAAGGCTAAGCTTGTTTAACAATAGGCCTCTAGGTACCGAGTCGAAAGCAGATGTATAATCAAGGAACGTACAACGGACATACTTGGCCCCTTTGTCTAAGGAGGATACAATGTTGTGATGAAACAGCAGCAGCGTCTAAAGTACTTCTATCCTGTTTGTAAGCAAACTGCTTTGGATCGTTTGAGAAACTTAGGGAGGGAACAAGTTTTAGTAACAATAATTTCTCCGTTAGTTTCAAAAAGGAGAGGTAATAGCGATAGGTCTAAACTTAACATTATTACGAGAACCTGACTTGGGTACAGGGATGATTTTAATATCTTTCCACAGAGAAGGTACAACATTATTAGCAAAAGTATTGAAAGTGTTTGTAAGTGGGTTACTTAAAATATCAGCACATTTCCTTAGAAAAATGGCAGGTATACCATCAGGGCCTAGACTCTGGGAAGGTTTCAAGAGATTTTAAACATTTATGAACATCAGGAGTTTTAAAAGTATGAAAGTCACTGGTCATGTTATTTGTCACATTGAAGCTAAAAGGTACATTAGGAGGGCGGATAAAAGATCTATTAAGAGTATTTACATCAATAGAGGAGGTACTAGTGTGGTGAGAGATGGTTGCTAGCCAAATTGGTTGACAGTAATTGAGGTCAAAGGTCAAATGGACAGGCGGATACAGTTAACATATAGGTGAACTGACACAGGCACAAGAGATGCAAGGTTAACTTTGTGTGAGAAACAACCAATCAACGGACTGTATTTTCTACTAACATTAACCCACAATAATGTACATCAAAATCTATAAATACGTGTTGTTTTCCGTAATAAACGATCTGTTGCCTGGCCCTTGTCTTCTGTTGTTACACTAGTACTATGCTTACCACAACCTGTTATTTCTCTGAAAAGCTTCCACATGTTCCCTGGAGTTTTACATAACAAAATTCTTTGATTATAAATATTGATTTTGGATTTAATTTGGATGTTTATCCTCCTAAGACCAGATTTATCCTCAGTCTTGTACAGACTCTCTTTTTCTCTTCGAAGCTTTTTGAGATGAGGGGAAGAGAAACGTTCCATTCTTTTTAAAAGTATCTGTTTTGGACAGCATACATCAAGGCAGAATTTAAGATAGTCAGTTAGATTGGAAATAGTATCATCCAGAATCACCCAGATACTTAACATATCACAGAAACAATACTGCACATGATACCCTCCTTCATGGACTCAACCGAAAATGTATTCTTTTGAAATCAAAGTGAAAATTATGTGAATCATTACATACCTTTGGCGGGAACTACTGGACTAACTGCAGCGACTAACAACCTTCGTTTTGCCTTCACAGTATGTGTTCGCGATTTCTTCGGAGAGCTGCAAGTAGCATATTTATCAATGCTCTCGGACTTGAAAGATGCTTTTCCCGTGGGTGATGAACACGAATTCCTTTTCGCAACAGCTTTTCTGCAAACAGTGAATTACAGTCATTTATCATTGGAAAGAAAGACAAATAACAAATGTACCATAACACACTTGAGTGAAAGCTGATTATCAAGTTGGTCATGTCTTTAAACTCAACTACATTCAGTTAGTGGAAACTTAGTTACTTAGGACAGATTTGTTGTGTACCAGGCTGACAATCACATCCACCGTGTGTATGCGTGTGTGTGTGTGTGAGCGCTGAAGATAATATCCAGTTACCCAAGATGAAGCTGTGCCAATAAGCCAATGAGCTACATCTCTATACTCTATTTACCAACATATGGACAGCAAATTAGTAGCATTAGCATTTGTACAATAGGTGTAGCGCATACATTCTAATTCATCAAGATACATGATTTCGAGTCATGTTCACATCAAAGCAGAAATAAACACTGGATAGACTAAGCATTTAAACTCATCCCTATATCAGTTATCATTTGACAAGTCTAAAGTCAATCAATACCAGACTCATAAATCATTGTTCCATCAACCTCAAACGTAACTGGCCAGCGTCACTTCCAGTGATAAAAACTATCTTCAAGTAGATATTACACCTGCATATTCGGCGCACCTGGCAATAAAAATATAACGCTATTCAATGTGGCTGGCTCACTAATCACTAGAAAACAGACCACATACCAACTGACCAAGATAAATAAACCTAAATTTGAAAATATCTGATTCTTTCCAACTTCGCAGTTTCCATCTCCATGGGATTACAAAACATGCTACTACTTCAGTCCACTGGGTCAATAACTCAACAATGACTCACCAGTATGCATATACATGCTCATAAAAAGCATAAATTTCTCACCACCAACACCTGTCATCAGTAGAAAGAATCTTCCCACCTCTGATAAGCTTTAGTACACCTAGATATCTAACAATACATGTAGGACTATAACAGTTCAACATCTATCACTACTGTATAACAGTCATCGTACATACCCCATATCACCATATCGAGTAACAGGCAATAAGAGCGAATAAAGTGCAGCAAAATAAAACCATGGATAAGAAGAAGACAGCATGTGGTAGAAAAAACGCATCGTGAATATCCAGACAGGAAATATTATATTACAAGGAAAAATAAAGTATGAACACATCAGCGCTATTGCGAGTAATTCCAAGGCATGGTTTGAGGAGGTAACCATGTGGATTCCGACCACGCAATCTACTCTTCCATAAACCGCATAGATTAGCTGTCAAGTACTGAATGGACTTCCATCACATCTAGGTGTAGCCACCTCAGCCACCCCACCAGTTTAATCCTACTTCATTTAATACACTACGTCGAAGTAAATGGTTAGTAGGCACACCCAAGCTACATCACATGATGGATGTCTATCATGGAAAATACCCATTGGGGCATATAAAACAACCGAAACAAGTCAGTCAGCGAAGAGACTCTTTTCAACAACGAATTTATTATCAAGCTGTACAACCAACCGCGCATATATGGCTTTGAAGAAATTATATCCGGTGAGAGAATTGAATCATAGCTGTCAATGCATAATAATATATTAATAGGACGAAATGCAATTAAAATGTTTGTGATTGTAATCATAGTTAAATGTGAAGTGGCAAAACAATTAATGCCATATATAGAATAATTCATAGGATGTATCACATCATCCTTAACTGCTTCATCTGTTTTACTTAACAACACCTTTCCTATTTGATGCCTGAATCACAGATACCAATCAAATGTCTACAACCTATACAGACTTCCCACATGTATCAGCCATTCTTCACATATAGGTAAAAATACACCAGTATTGCTTTATACTTCACTCTATTATCACAAGTTGGGAACCAGATAACTCGACCTCCTCACAGCAAGAACATATTAAATGTACACTGAGAAAAGTTACCGTCCACTAATATTTCCACTGCAATGATCGGAATTTGCATTATTGGAAGCGGTTATCGAAGTAGGACGATGACTACAACCAGGTGAGGAGATAGAAGACATTCCACCATTTTCTTCATATGCTCTTGAAGAATTAGACGCCTTTCTGTTGGAACTGTTAGCATCACCCATTTGGTTATCCACATCAGAATTTCCAACCAGATTTCTTCTGTTCGGCAGGTCGCGTAACCGAATGAGGCTGGCGTTTTGTGGAATTTTGGCTCTGTCTGATTGATTCCCCACAAAGGGTGACTTGATCTATAAAGGAACCGTAGACAAAGGGTGAGATAGTATTCATTAACACTCTTCAACAATCGTACATTTGATTCTAAAGATTATCCACACTGATCACAAATCATAGATTGTGTGAACACCAGATATCGAGGTAATCAATCGATTCATATGATTGAATATACAAATTCTATGTCGATTACTTCAACTCCAGATAAACAGCATACTATGAAGATGCTGTGTATTCATTTAGAGGAGGACATCGGTTAAAACGAGCACAATAGAAATTGCGGACAGATGATATACAAGAATGTGGTATTAAAATAACTGACGCAGTAATAACAGTTATTGAGTTATACGAAGTTTACATGGTCTTACACTCACACTGGCTTTATCACCGCTGACTGGAGTAGATTCTAACAGTTCTTTTTTCTGAAATTTTGTTTTTAAATCAGTTTCCGTTAGGTCGATATCTTCAACTAGCGGCATTGAGCGATATTTTCTTCTCGCAAGTTTATTGTCAACTGCGGATCGGGATTTTATAAGATTTGACCTTAACTTCTTAGGTGATGTGATGCGCGTCGTGCTCGATAAACTGGAGCGCAAAGATCGAAGACGTTCACAAGTATTAGCTTCAGGGTTTGACTGCTGTTGATCTCTTAAAGAAACGTACATAGCTTTGCGTAATTCTTGTTCTTCTTTCCATGATATACCTAGAACATTGTCCTATGAAATGTGAAAAAAACCAAAGTGAAATACTTCTGGACAAACAGTGTGATTACAAGTAGAAGCGTATAATTGAACAGACATAAGTCAAATTGTTATTCGCAAGTATCATGCTACGCACAAGTAGACAATGTCACTTGTTATCTGTAACCAATTTCATTCACAAACGTCATGAAAATAAACTTGAAAACTAGTAGTGGCTTGTTGTAAAATTGACCACAATTCTCGCCACAAAATTCAGTCAGCTCTAGTCATGACAATACATTATGAATACAATAAAAACTCTAACCGACAATCCATCACTGCACAGCATGCTCATTCTACGGCGATCACTCCAATCATCGTAGATGATGCATATCTTGTTCAAACTGAGGGCAAGGTGTCTTAACTGTCTTAGTTAGCACTTACACAATATAACATGACAATACCGGATGCTTCAGACCCAAAACAGTCAAGAACACATGCAATGTACTACTCGAAATAAACCACTGCACAGGACATTTTTTTTACTTCTACCAACTGCTCATATAATTTAAGAGTACAGAAAAGCATTTTTAACTCAAATGGAGGAGACTTACGTCACCAGACTTTGACAACTTTCTCCTGGGTCGAGGACAGCCTTGCTCTGACTGTTGTTCGCGGCGGGCCATCTGAAAAAAATGCAAATACAACTAGGAGGAAACGCTATATACTGCCAAAGTAACTACACAGATTATTCATCTTCCATATGAGTATTGCCTCATCATTTGCCTATTTCTCTTATCTGTTTTCAAATGGAAGCCTGCACAACAACATTAAACTGCTAATCAAATTCAACTGTCAGTTGACAGATATGGTTTTATGTGTATCAATGAGAGACACTTATTCTACGAAGACTGATGACATTATCCGAAGATAAAAATCGATGGAAATACGTTTGAAGTCGGAGCCAACTCACTCATACCTTACAAGTGCTTAATTACTCTCAAGTGAAGACAGAAACAACTCGGACTTTGCCAAGCAATGAATAACAACTTGAAGACATTGCATGTGAGTCAACCTGCCCTTTCCACTGACACACCTCGTCTCACCTAAAGCAGTGGTAGATAATGTAGCCCAATCTTACTGACTAAAAGGTTACGAAAACTTTACTAGCTAGGAAACCAGTGAAGTTACTGTAGTTCCTTTAGTTATATCTAACATATGCGAAGCGAATTATGTGATCGATACGACTATTTATATCAAAAAATAGGCGCACTAGGAGAAAACCCACTGTGTCCACTAGAAAACAGTGGAAATTACTATCAAAGTTAAATAAATGTGTTAGAACATCAAGCATTCGGTTGTCAATCCCCCAGTGCATTTCTTGCGTGAGACAGATGTGATTAGTTGTTGCAACTTAACATGGTGGCAGGACATAAGAAGCTATAGTGACTGTAATGTTTTTGAAGGTTCGACTGAAGCATAAAGACCAGTTACGTGGAAGCCTGACTAATAGTTGTTACGAATCGAGTGGCTTATTCTATAATGGTGGAGGGGGCTGAGGAAGATATTGTGCTGCTGACGAGAGAGCAGTGACAGTAACTTGCATCAGGAAAAGTATGTTTACGCGCTTACTTACTGTAGCTCAGCGGACCGAAAAACATTTGGCCCACTACTTAATTCTAAACATTGAAATGTAGTTATTGTGATGCGAATTTCAATGCGTAAACAGGAATTCCAGGTCATAAAGTTTTCCAAGTCGTGCTGCTAGCATTAGTTGGCAGATAACGGTGATCACTAGGCACAAGCATCCACACCATATCTTCACCACATATGCTTATATGCTCTCTTTATCCACTCTCAAACTTTTATGTATGTCTCATTTCTTTATCCCACACTTAATGTACGAACATAAAGGATACTACTTCAGAACACAATATAGTGTTGATGAAACGTACGATTAAAATGCATATGAACTATAATCATCATTTCTTCAGATATTGCTTTAAGAAGCATAGACAACAGAGTGAGTATGTAGAAGAAAAAAATGCTGTCTCCATGGCCTTTGATATTCTCTTCTTTAATGTCTGCCAGATCACACTGATGTAAAGCATCTTCTTTGGCATAGAGATGGGGTCTTCTCTGTTGCTTTTGGGTTTTATGTGTGTATCTATGAGGCGTTAGTGTGGGCATTTTCGATTAGTTCAATGCGTGTTTTGTCTAAAAGAGTCAAAGAACATTATTCCGCTTTACTACAGAAAGGTCACAATGACCCAGTAAGGAGTGCTATATTTAAACATATATTCAACACTGGCCACTCAATATGTAAGGAAAATTCACTCAAAGTTAACCACAAAGTCAAAAGAGGCCTGCCAAAAACTGTAGGATTTCGTATAATTCCCATTGCTTAGTCCTTAGTGATTTGGATGAAAAACCCGGACTTATGTACACGGAAGAAACTTCTCCATATATTTCTACCTTCGGCATAATTCCAAGCTCAACATAATGTTATTCATACTGCTTTGTGCATTTTTTCGCATGACGTTTATTAGCACCATTTTCTTAACTTATCTTTTGTTCATCCTCTTCATCCACTATATTATTATTTATTTTGGTACTTATTCACATTCTCTTTCATTAACATCCAAACTATTCTAAACGTTTTTCATATTAAGAAAACTAAGTGTGGTTACAATTTGGCTGCTCATCACTACTGTGAAATATTTTGGTGTAAACAACACTCCAAACTAATTTGTATTCGTATTCTAGTAACACATAAAATAATTACATATAATTGCGACTGAACTGCCAAGTCAATGAATTCGTTGAAAAGAGACTTCGCTGCGCTTAGTTGTTATTTCAACGTTGCGCAATCACACTATCACATCTACTATAATGAACAGACAATTACTATCTGAAATTCATTAATTATTCCCCAAGACTGGGTTGAACTGCCAGGCAACACCTAAACATCGTGCTACACACTCTCTCTACGTGGCAACTCGAACTGCTGCACTTCGTTGCCAAGTTCTATGTTGAATCCAGCAGCAGCAGCATACACTCTCTCAGCAGGCAACAGATTTCTGGCGTTTAAAGAAACTCTGGTGAAACAACTATAGAAACACCAACATTCCAACATCACACAACTCGCAAACCGTAAGCATAAGTAAAAAAACAAGTCTCTACAATAGATTTTCATTTCTTATGAATAGTTAGAATTTGAGTGATACAGTTATAGAATAAAGATAACAAACAGAGATCTTCATATCTGTATATTCTGGAGCGTGTAACAAGTAATAGCCGAAAAAAAGACCTTTATGTGGTTCGAGAATTTGTAGGCTCACCTGTTAAATCTACAAAAACCAATACGTCATAATTTACTTACCTACGAGTGTATTCCAACTTACCACGCAGACTTAAATGCTGCCAGATCTTTCAGTTCGCACTTGTCATCCACACTGAGGCGATTCCATCTCTCGTACCATGGATTAAAGTCAACGTAAGCGGACATGGGTTGTTTAACTGGTAAACTAGGCTTCGAATAACCCTAAAATATCAATCAAACATCACGTTAAGCGATCAACGTGTTTTCTAGTCAACAGGAATGACACAAATATCATTGTCCATTGTTTACCTATCGTAATAAGAACAACTTAAGGAGTATGACTCACTTGAGTGAACTAATTGACTATTTACCATTCAAAAGGTTTTGAGACAAAAATAATCCCACTAGCTACAAAGGCCTATCACATTCTTTGACCTAAAGGCATCATTCAGTTGACCGTAAAGGGAAGCAAAGCCAGTTATTTGGTTTTCATGTTCACTATGGCGAGTTTCTAAGGAAACTTCGAAAACATCAAGTTTTATTGTTATTTACAAACGATTTTTGGCAAAGTTAAACTACCATAGCCAAAACCACAGTGACCTTCAACAACCGATCAGAACTCAGATGCGAAAAGGTCACATAATCGTTGAAAAATACACTAGAAAATATTGCAAACTTGACAGTATAGTTGTTGTAAGAATGGCTTCCAGTCAATACACAAATGATCTATAGAGAAATCGTACCATTTATCCAAGTGACTGTATGTCATGGTGCTTTGAGATCCATTGATATTTCTGGCACCTCCTACCTACTCCATAACCCTACCTAACTACAGATAAGCAGATTAAGTACCTAGTAAATAAGCAGGATAATGCAGCTATCCTCTTCAAGTCCAAAAAACAGGCATGATTTGATTTGGAATGATATTTCATAGCATTTCCTGTGTGTGATCCGTACATGATTGTCAACTTTTGGAGGACCTTAACTTTTGCTATGATACTTCGATTATTTGTTTCTTAGCAGCTGCAATCGCAAGAAGTCCACAGGAATCTGTTGAGAGTATCTCAGAATCCCATGCATTATTTAACATATTAAGGAAATCTCTGCAAAACTTCAGTAGTATCCACATCCTTAAACATATGTGGGTCCTGTTGCTTGGCCTCTTTTTGGATTGCACGCTTCAGCTAAAACTGACAGCCAGTGTCCACATCACAAACATGCAGTGGGCAATTTTAATGCAGCTGTATGCACCTCCAATTGCACTTCAAAATATTACCATGTCTCCTAAGAAAAAATAGGGTTTTATCCTTTTTGAATTTCTGACCTTTAATATGTTGAAACCAGTCAGGCATTAACTGTAGATAGAATCAATAACAAATAAGATGTAGATAAATGCTAATCGCCTCCTAGTATCTAACATCTAGGCAAAAATACGAATACCGTTTTCAAAATTAAGCAACTCACTTCATAAAGAAACAGCATTATGGTTAAAATCTCCAAATTCTTATAGCGGAAAACAGAATTCACAGAGATAACATAAAACTAGAACCGTAATCGGGTTACCTCAACAATTGGAGTATTGACAAAAACTTCGAATTATTTCTCAGCAAGCATATTTTAAAATTTATTCTATATGGCCTGATTTGTTCGGTAAATAAGAAAGGACTTACACATATACACATACATTTATATATCATTTGATAGCAAGCATTAGAAAACTAGAACACATAGGTAAGAAAAATGCCGTCTTACAACCAGTGCCTTTAACTATGTAAAGTTTTTGACTGGGAAGAGGATTACGCAGTAATGGGCCAAACGCACAAATAAGAAAACAACTTTAATCAACCATTTAAGACAATACAAGGTCAATTCATAGTGTTAACTCAGGTTGAAGACAGAAGGATTAGGTAACAGCGTCCAAAAAATGAGGGCTGTGGGAAGCTAATATTATTCGGATGAGCGGTAAATTTATCTCATAGAGTTTCAAATTAAATTATATAATAACACACATGAAAGGATGTAAGAAGGCATTATAACTTCACTACTTTTCACTCCAAATTAAGCTTAAAGTAACAGAAGCATTCCAGTTTGTTGTTGACGGTTTTGACGGTTTTTCAACCTCACTCACTTCATTGAGAGTTAACGCTACATATATATCGAGGTGGGAACTCATCAGAAGCCATTCCAAGGCTTTCTGTTATTTGCCCTGTCAACAGGCTATGGAGGCTTTTAGGTCATTAATATCATTTTAATTGATGAATATGAGGATAAGGAGAGAATTGGTAACGCTAGTGGGAGGGTATTGAAAGCGAAATTGAAAAAATCAATTTAAAATACACCATTTTAATGGCTGGCATGATATTGGATGATAATTTTGCCCAAAATTCTACAAAAATAAAAGACTTCACAGTGTAAACAACTATAGTTGATAGCTATGATAAACATGGTTTGATCAAAATTTACACAAACTCACAACGTTCTTGCCACCTGGTTTACTGGTAGCGACAGAGAGTTCGAAATCTTGACTGGGAGGAAAATTGAAGTCCCCTGACATTTTGAGACCGTACAGCAGCCCTGTTGTGCAAGACAGCTGTTTTACACCTTTCGAAGTGGCGCCATCAGGTCCGCCCTTGAAAAGTAATGTGTTTCAAATAGGAAGGCCAAATGAAACAGCATGATTTCATAATTCATCTGCTGAGACAAGAATATTCCTAGTGACTATACAAATAACATCAACAAAATACAACAATATGAAGTAAAGAATGAGACGCAAGAACCCATGCAATAATTTATATTTCGATAAGATAAGTCATTTTAAATTAAATGAATGCCACGTTTCAGGCACGATCAGACGATGCATAGATTACATTCGGAAAATATCCATGAACTAGTACAGTTTTAATAGATAAGTTATTTTTTTTCCTTCACGTTCCCAGTGGAACATAGGGCTTCAAGCTAGTGGCTTGAAGTTTCTGTAGCAGTGTTTATTTTACAGGATGGGGTTGCTAGCCTCATGCCCAACCTTTCCTCTTTACAAGCATTACTTCTGGCTTAGCGAGGTAAAGGAGTGAGTCGGCCGAGGATCGAACCCCGGACCATGTGCATGGTCGGCGAGTATCCTAACCGCTATGCCACCGACGCACAATAGATAAGTTAGAATACCAGCAATTAAAATGGGTCCACATAAATGCAAAATTATAGAGCCGTCACCAAGGTCATCAAAATGGTTAAGCGGAAACCCAAGCTTCGTTTTCCTTCCTGCGGTAAGTTTCAGTCAGTCAATGAACAATCATTATTTAGGTAAATACTATTTCTTCGCGGGCTGTAAGCTATTCAGGAAAACTCTGAGAAACTTCGGATTGGAATAAATCACAAGGTGATATATTACTATTAATGCAAATAAATAAGAAGCAGCTATGTGCTCCTGAGGAAAACAATGTACGTTTGTAGTGAATAATGTCAAGCAAACTGGTCTGACTGCCGAAACCATGATGTTTTCAATGAAGAATAGCAAATTATTCTTTTTAATTATCTTCTGATGCAATTAGATATCAAGTAAGCATGGAATATATATGGAAAGTACAAGTTTTGGCCTCACAAAAAGCCTTGACACCTGTGATGTGGCGGATTGCAGTAGTGCTCAGTCAGCAGTGTGTAGGTGATAGTTTAATCAGAAGTAGGTTCGAAGATCCGAAAAAGTAGAACATGTAGGACATGGTGACCCATAAAATGTCTCACTAAACTTTTTAGGGCTCACGAGATCGCATCTTGACAAGAGACTATGCGTATTATTTGGTGTTATAGCAGAAGCATTATTTCTTTTATTGAGATCCCAACCATTATAGTTATTGTTTAATATCAGGATCGAAGCTCACGTTGTAACCTCCAACAGTCAAACTGCATATTGTTGCTTTACAGAATGGCTCAATTCACACATGTAATAATAATATTTTATTCACATAAATTAAACATTTACATGATTGATGTACCGTTTGTACAGGCATGATCACATTTGACAAGTGAAGTTTGAAATGGAACACTGTGTCATGATATTAAAAATTGAAGAATGGGAAAAAATCTAGAAGCTTTATAAGAAGTTTGTGATGTTTCCTTTTAATTGAATAAGTTACAAGATATTGGTTTAAGTCTAAATTTAAATCTATAATATACTTATAGTCAGTTAACTTCATGCGGAATATACGGAAGGTTTCGTTACTTGCAGGAAGACACTCGGAAGTCAACTGCCTGGACCAGGAGATACATGAAGCCCAGTAAAACCGTAGGGTGCAGCAGGTCAGGTGTGTGGACAAGTACTCTCCGTAGACATTGGCTAGCGGTTGCACTATATCGTGAATTTGCATAAGTTAGAATTCATGGACCATTGGGTCCCAGTGGCTTAATGGTATGCGAGCTCGCCTTGTAACTAGAAGGTCCTGGGTTCGAATCCCAGTGGGTGCGTACTGCTGAACAGTCCCAAGCTAGGACGAAACAGCTGTTCAGTACTCCCAGGTTTTCCAATGGTTCTCTAACCAATGTCAGCTCATGATGAAATCCTGTAACCAATCAACCGAATCCCCACAAACCAATACTTGAAAACTGTTATACCCTAAAACTGTACCCCCGCACTTTTTAAAAATCAACTTTCGTGGAATAAACTCTTTTTTGCACAGTTCTGGTTCTGTTTCCATTATCTGTGTGCCTGCTGGTTGCCTGTTACAAATTGGTTTCGGAGGTGTCCCAAATCCAGTCTTAACATGAAATCAGACTCATACTAACCTCCTGAAATAATCTCCAGTCAGAAAAGCCAACACATATCTCCCATCCGCAAAACACATTTTACCTGTGCGAGTACCACCGTTGGACATCAACAGAGATTATGAGCTGTGGAAATTTCGGATGAAGATTCTTCTCGCAGGTCTGTCTCCACAAGCCCAATACAATCATATCATGCTAGCAATGAGTGACGACGCGTTACGGCGTGCAATCGGTGGTGGATTTTTCGCATTCAAACTGCACAGATACAACTGGCACATTTTAGAGAAATGTTTCGCAAAAACCTTTAACACCGCGTACATGCACACATTATTAAGCCGATGTCGAGAACCAGGTGAAACGGCTACCGACTACTTCCATCAACTTCGTCTAACCTACCTAGTGCGAGGCAAGATGAGATTCTATGCACTCGATTTGCGCAAGGTCTACTATCGCACGAGCCAAAATGCCAGTTACTCCGCCAACCAGCTAAATCAATCTCAGAGGCTCTCGAGGTGGTCAAACGATTCGAGAGCGTAGAGCGCATGCCTTCGCCATCCATCAGTACGTCCCCAACATTCCATCACCAGCTCAACCTACACCGTCTGCTGACATTCTCCCCAAACCAAACAGTGACCCTAGCAAATGTTATTACTGCCATCGTTTCGGTCACCAAGCGTGGAAATGTGGCCATAATAAAGAACCTCAATGTGAGCTACCTCTTAATGTATACTTATTTGGTCAATGTTTGAAATCACCACTTACCCTTGAAGGTAAAATTCAGGGCGTAAACGCAACTTTCCTGGTTGGTACCAAGGCATCATCC